TCGAAAATATAAAAGAAAATATTAAAATACTAATACTGAAATATTAATACACATAAAATATAAAATATGTATATGAAAAAAGTTAATAACTTTAAGTTTCTTGTGTTTTAATTCTAAAGCACAGTGTATGTGCTTATATGTACATATGTATTGGCGCCCACGCACTGTGATTGAATGGAAATTGAATATTAGATAGAAGCATGTGTGGCAACACCTGCATTGAAAACCAAACGTCGTAAGGCATACATACATACACACATGCCAACATATGTAAATTCATGGATTTTATGAATGTGTGAGCAGATTTTATCATTACAAACACACACACGCCTTTTATGTGCTAACAAGAGCACAACTTAAGGCACTTAAATACACGTAGGTATGTCTTTAAAAAGGTATATATACATATATATGTAAATATATTTACAGATATGTAGATTTCCACACTTAAAACACAAATCCGGACGTGCGACATGGCAAATTCTTGCTTTACGTAACAGCTTCACCCTCCACTCATTTACAAAAAGCTCTGGCATATATGTACATGCATATATACGTATATATATTTTCATGTGAATTTGTGTGTATGCTTATTTTAAAACCTTTTGTGGCACGTTTATATTGCATACATTCATCGAACGCCATACATATATATATGCATATATATATATATATTCATATGTATACATATATGCTAACCGTTATAATGGATTTGTGTGGGCAAACGAACACAAACATACATACACCAATTCACCATATCCAAAGAAATGTTAAAATATTTAAATCAAAATCAAATTGGTTGAAATGAGTAATACTCCCATGTACGTGCAACATCAACGTACAACAGCTAACATAGCTTCTGCTATGCTTTCGTACAATTGATATGTCGAAAAAGCCAGAGATTAGGGGAAAAGGAGTGTTGAAAAAAAATTAAAATGGATAAAATCTAAGTGCAAGCATATAAAACGAATCCATTCATCAAATATGGACGTGCCTGAGGCGATTGGGCCACCAGTTTGCGTGTTTCACGCACACACTCAAACCTAAACACCCACAGATGCTCACACCTACACAAAAAATGCGTATGTGTAGAGCTTTTGGAAATTAAAGGATTTCTCGTTTCTCTCGTTCGTCGCTTTCTAATTTCTAACCAAGCGCAAAGCAACTCAAATTTATTATTCTTTTATGTTATGGATGGATGAAGGAATTAGTAATGTTCAGCTGATGCTGATTGTTTGAGGAAAATATTTAAATTTTTAAATATTTAAAAATACATTATTTAGGGAAATAATAGAAAAACTTTGAAACTTCGGCAACCAGCAGCTTAGGAGTCTGCAAATAGTAAAATATTTATTAGCAATTACACTATTCATATGTGTAAGTACATGTGTGTAAGCCCAAAAAAAATCCCTGATTGCAATAATAATATGTACTATATTTTAATATAAAACTCACATATGCAAAGCATTCAACATATTGTATAGGCACACATAAAAAAACGTACAGTAAATAATAAATAAGCAAAGCAGAAATATCGAGGGAAAAGGAATATATATATATAAAAATATTTAATTTCCGCCACAGAACACTTCCGCCAAAAAAATATTGCGGTTAAAAATAGAAATGTATTTATGTGAGTGAGAACACCGGAAAGCGGTTGAATTTTATACCAGCAACAAGCCAAAATCCATACCAATATGCATAGTATATATGAATGTATTTGTATGTATTTACATTATTTACGTATATTTCTATTTGCATATAAATATGTGCATATGTATGTGTGGGGCTTTAACCCATAATGCTTGCGTTGAATCTTTTATGCGAAAAAATAAAAGTCAGATGAAATACACCTTACTCCTAAAGATATGCTACATTTTATAATAAAACAATTTCCATAGGCTTTTATTGACATTTTTATTAACTATTTTTGCCAACAATATACAAAAACAAGTATAAATTTTTATGTGAGCAAAAACCAAAAACATACTGAACAAACCAAAATATATTCAGCTTAAGAATTTTTTTCATCAAAAATGTTTGCTATAGGCATCTAAGCATTAAATTCGACCTTCGTCAAAGTTATGAATATTAAAGAAATTTCAAGCAATTTTTGATATTTAGTAATATTTTCGCTACTCTTAGTATTTAGCGTTATTATTTGGTAATCACATACGTATAGGTACATAAAGATACAGTTTTTGAATTTGATAAAATTTTTCACATTAGGGTTTGCAACGATGATTTCCAAAAAATTGCTTGTTCGAAAATTTTGTCCTTCAAAATGTTAAATATCTGAAGTATTATAACCTAATATTAAACCGCCTAAATGCAGGCAATATTTTTCAAAAAAAAATTGTTAAAAATATAATTTTAGTTTTGACCTTTTTTCCAAATTAATTTCCTTAGATATTTTATTCTATTTTTAAAATATTTGCGATGAATTTCTCTCGAAAACATAAGGCTTGAAAACTCACTTCGCACATTAGTCGCCACAATAGCGCATGCATTAATAATCATAAAATTTTATGAAGAGTTTCCTTCCTTCCGGTGACAATGGGTTGCAAGCTTTCAAGTGTTCTTTTTTTCTTCTTTTAAGGCAGGCGGAAAACTTCATGTCAAAAAAAAATATTTTTTTTTTTAATCGCCAGAAGTTCAATTGAATACAGGTGGATGGGTGCAATGAGTGACTATACTGAAAACCACCGACTCTGTTTGAACCCTACATTCTGCCTTTCCTGCAAATGTGCGTACATATCTACAATTTCTTCCTTCTCTACCCTATTTTTTTGTTAAAACAATACCTTCATGGGTAATTTTTTCTGGGTATTTAAATGCGAAAAAATGTGGCGCTGAAAACCTCACAGCGAAAACTTTTATCTATACATATACATATGAATATAAGCTCCCGCGGCTATGGTTACCTAGCCGTGTCTGACTGTCAAAGTAGTCTGCCTGCAGTTAGTTACATATACATATGTATATACCAACGCTTTGTGCATTTGTTTGTGCATTCATATACTATCTGCATTAAAACTATCACATATGCATACACATATGTGGTCACGTCGTATCTGTCTGGCTACAAAAATAAATATTTCCACTTGCGTGAGCGTACCACAATTGTGCTATATACTTATTTAATTTTATTTTTGTAGCCGTCGGTTTCAACCAGACGCCAATTTATAACTGTTTTGAGCTTTTATTCATACACTAAATATTTATGTGTGTTTCAGAGGCTTATATTAGGGATTTAACAGTTCATTGTAACTTTCAGTGTACGTTCGAGGATTATGTGAAGAATTTATCAGCGGAGTATAGTTAAATAAATTTGCACAATGAGAGAGAGTAAAGATAGTCTGAAATAAATAAATATTCAGGAAGACTTTTTAGGCTAAAATAACCGGCCTTGCTTTATTCAGACCCATTTAAATTACGTTTCAGTTAAATTCCATACTTTCTTACAGGCCTTTGTATTAGAAAATACTTTAACAAACCGTTGCCTACAATTAGGCACTAATTTCAGTAATCTACCGAAGACATACACCCAACCAGGTTAAGCTTACCTATAAAAACATAATTCACTTAATCTTGAGCATAAAACATACATTTTTATTTGAGAATATTATTCATTTATCGCTTATCAGCAGAGAATTTCGAGGCGAATCTTTCCAATCAAGTTTTTACTAAGGAATATGGTAAATCCTTATAAAAAGACCGTATATTATGAAAACGAAAACAATGTCGTGTATAACATATTCGTTGAAAAAGTTTAATAATTTTACAATTGTAACTTTAAACAATTAAAAATTTATTTTTCGTCAAAATTACATTTAAATTCTTGAATTCATTGCTCTGAGCCAATTAATATTTGGAATAATTTTAAAAAATATTAGGTTTTATCTAAATCAAAAATTTAAGCCAAAAATAGAAAAAAATGTCTCAGTTACTAAGACAACAAGGTAACTCGTATATCAAGGATGTCTTATTAAACTTTGACTGATTTTTCAAGTGAGACAACTCACTCATATGTTTTGAAAAATATCAGCACAACTTTTTTTCTTATCTTTTATTTTTTTTTATCAATTAATTAAATTTTTTTTGGATTAAGGATTTGTAAACCCTAAATGAATTTTGTAATTTAAAAAACTTTCATGAAATATAGAGTCTTTCGGAGTCCCTTCATATTCTGCAAAACGTTTATTCGATGAACAGAATCTAGTATTTAAAATTTTCGGAATCTTCGAAGTGTTTCAAATTTTTCTAAGAATTTAAACAATTTCGGAGTTTTGAGAAATTTTTTTGGAATTCTTGAAAATTTTGGTATGCTATAAATTTTCGGCGTGTGGTGCGTAAAAGTTTTAGGAATCCAAATATTAAAGCGTTAATATTAATTACTTCCCGTATTAGAGGTGTTTATTACTTTCGGAGTGTTTCCAAATTTTCGGGGTACTCAAAACTTTTCAAAAATTTTCGTTTCTTAAAGCAATTCAAATAATTTTTTATAATCTCAAAATTTTCTAATAAGATAATTAAACATACTATAACTGGGCATTTCATTTTCGGAGTAAACTCAAATTTTCAGGGTACTCAAAACCTTTCAATAATATTTTATTTATTGAAGCAATTCAAGTAATTTTTGGAAATCTCCAAATTTTCCCATAAGACAATTGAACATATAATACTATAACAGGGCATTTCATTTTCGGAGTAATTTCAAGTTTTCGGAGTAAAAATTCCGAAAACCTTACTAATAGTTAGTTTGTGTAATATTTTAGTGCTTTCAAAGTTTCCAAATATTTCAAAACTTTCGGATTACTCAAAAAGTTATAAACTTTAGCATGATACTTTTCCCTAAACGAAAACTTTAGCCGTACTATTTTTTTTTAATTTTGGAGTAATATCGAATTTTCGGAGTATAGAAAACTTTTACTTTATACTGAAATTATTATTTGCTCAACACAACCTTCATTAAATATTCTTCTTTTTTTTCATTTCAGTGTTGAATAAGTGAATATAAAATAGCAATTAAAAAATAATTACAACACTTAAATACTCAGCGACAACAATAGCTGCCACGGGTAAGTCTTCAAGTTAATTTTATACTCTTAATATTTTAGCATTTCAAAGAGAAAAGTCTTCGACTCAAAAATGCACTTTATTGCCTTTATCTACATACATGTATACAGCGGAGCGCAGCACAGACTGCAGTAAAACTCATAGTTATATTTAAGGATATCTGTGTTTATGTTCTTTTATTATTTTCTATAACAACCAGACAGAAACAAAAATGCATGAGTGCGCATTAAAATTCATTAGATAAATATGTAAATAAAATCGCGCGCGCACTTCAGTAAACCACACACACACGCGCAATGCATGCATGCAATACAAAACAATACATAGAGGAGAGAGAGAGAGAGAGAAGAAATGATTTTCTTACTTTCATAATTTCCGCACAATTGTTTGAGTTCTTTCATGCAGCACTGCTGTAGCAGTGTTGACAGTATTACATAATGATGAAATGCAAATAATGGCGTGAATAGAAATGCATGCTATGCACATATTCGTATGTAAGTACAGTGGTTCGCCATTGCACTGCAGTTTTTCTCCATTCATATTTGCATTTGCGCTAATGAAATTACCATTTCGCGGTGTTCGTCGCCCACAATAGACGCGCGCGCGCACCAATAAAAGTCAGCTGTGGTGTGCTGCTGTATAGCGTTTATGTGGCATGCCACACTATGCTTTAGCTTTGCATTTATGCAAGTTATACATATGTCTCTGTTTGCTTGCTTTTTGTAAGCACTGTAACTTTTCCCCGCTCTCACTCCCACAGAACTTGACTTCATTACACTCTTCTCTTACACCTCCTCAGCTCTCAACATCTCTTCACTTCTTTGCAGAGTCATATCTATTTTTTTTTTTTTGCTTTTTTTCTATTGCTTTGCTCAACGTGTTAATGAAATAGTCTCCGTCAGCTTCTTTAATGTCGTTTTTGTTGTCGCTGTTGATGCGCACTGACAAGTACTTACATAGAAATTAAGCTACACTTACTGCTGCCACTGCTGATGCGCTGTTCCCAAGTACATTTAGCTGCAACTCATCACTTTGGAGGCGTTCCATTTTGTTGTTGGATGTTGCGAAAGGTTATATGCACTTACTACAAGTAATTTTATTGGTTATAAAAGGGCGGAAAAATATGCCATTTACACTAATTTGGTTAATAATGAAAAGATGCTGCGTTGGTGGAGAGGAAGACAAAGAAGGAAGAGTAAAAAAGCACTTCAAGCTGTAAGTACGGGGAAGAAGAAGACAGACTGGGTTTAATCAGGATTTTAGTCGCATATGAGCGCTACTGTGCCACTCTTTGCTTAGTGAGTGAATGTGAAGAATTTTCTATATATGTTCAAATTATATAAATAAGCTATTTTCAAGGTTGCTCTTTTGCGGTTTGCTAAGACTTGAAAAGACTTTGGAAGTCTCGAAGTTATCGGAGCTTTTTCCTCCATCATCTACAAGCACATTACCTTTTCAGAATATAACAACAAGAGATACCGACAGTTATAGAGGGAGACAACACACATTTATAGGCAGAAAAAAGGAAGGAACAAACGTGTGAGTATGAAGAGCTTCCGAAGATGGCAGATAAAGTTAGTGCTCGGAAGTTCTAAAAACAGAAGGCTATCCGCTGGCATATACCCAAAGTATACTGAGCTCATGGGGAAAGTACTTCTCCAGTCTGCTGAATGACAATGCAAACAAAAAATAAAGAGAGAGTTAACCCGAATTTCCAATCGCTGACAAAAGACATATATGTATATAAGGTTGTCAAATATCTCCCTTCCGCTTTTTGCTCTTCATTCAATGCTTTTTAAAATGTATTACAGTGATCGGATTTAGTTAAAATATGCGCCGTTTTGTTCGATGATCTGTTTCCATCTAGACGGCAACTTCATAATACCTTCCTCGCAGAAGCCCCCCTCCTTATTTGCGAAGAATTCGGACAGCCACTTTTCACATGCCTCTTTTGAGTTCAACTTCACACCACCAAGGGCATTCGCCATGGACAGGAACAGGTGGTAATCACTTGGCGCTACGTCCGGGCTATATGGTGGATGCGATAAAACCTCCCATCCGAGCTCCCGTAGCTTCTGACGAGTCATCAACGAACACTACACCCTTCCTGTTAGCCAATTCTGGACGCTTCTGGTCGAGCGCCTGCTTCAAGCGGTCCAGTTGTTCGCAGTAGATGGTAGAATTAAGCGTCTGGCCATATGGGAGCAGCTCATAGTGGATGATTCCCTTCCAATCCCACCAAACACACAGCAAAACCTTCCCGGCCGTCAATCCCGGCTTGGCCACTGTTTGGGACGATTCACCGGCCTTCGACCACGACCGTTTTCGCTTGATATTGTCGTATGTGATCCAATTTTCGTCGCCAGTCACCATCCGCTTCAAGAATGGGTCGAGTTCATCCCGTTTCAGCGGCATATCGCAGGCGTTGATTTGGTCCAGAAGGTTTTTTTGCGTCAAATTATGCGGCAACCAAACATCAAACTTTTTTTGTATCCAGCCTTCTGCAGATGGTTCAAAATGGTTAGGTGACTAACTCCCATCTCCTGGGCGATGTCACGAGATGCCATATTCCGGTCTAACTCGATGGTTTCCATGATTTGATCGGTATTTGTCGTCACAGGTCTTCCGCCGGCTGGCTTATCTGTCACCGTCGATTTCACCGGCTCTGAATCGTCGAAACCATTCCTCCGCGGTTCGAAGTGATAGAGTACCATCCCCCAAAATACCATTAATCTCACGGAACGTTTCTCTAGCGGATTTGCCTTTAACGAAGGAAAACTTCAAAATAGCGCGAATTTCGGCGTTAGTGAACTCCATGTTTACACGTCTATAACTGTTGAACGCAATATCCAAATCATGCATAGCGTTGTTTTGTAGGTTATGTCAAGACCTTTCAAATTATGTATAGTGTTGCCAGATACGAGCTCTGTAGCGCTTTGTACATAGCCGCGAAATTCAAAAGACAAAAAAGCGGAAGGGAGATATTTGACAATCTTATATATAATTGGCGCTTTGTAACCGCTGAATCGATTTTCGGCCGAGCTTCTCCTCTAATTCGTAGTTTTGTGGCCGCCCCCGAACGGCTGATGGTTTTTTCATGAGCAGCTTTATTTTTTATTAAATAGAATATTTTAATTATTTTTTTTATTCAAATTAATTTTCTATAAGTTTTCTGGATGTTCTCACACCAGGATTTGAACCCGAACCTTTCGAATGGCAATACGCAATGCTAACCACTCGGCTACCGCGACCGCCAATACAAAAGAATAGGCTTTACATCACCCTACAAAGGCGAATAACGATTGGTTTCCTGAGAAGCAACAAGGGGGCGTGCGCCGATGGTTTGTTGGCAGAAAACTGATAAAGTGGAAGCATTAATTTCTTTGCAGGAAGACTACCTGACTATTGGAATGTAAAACACAGTTTTTAGTTCGTATACAATATTAAATCCCATTGTCAACGAACTGATTGGAGCCAATCATGACGGCTTCTAACCTGAATATTTACAACTTGCCTAGCAAAAAAGAACTGGCACACACCAGCTTTTCTTGAAAGAGACTGCATAAGGAGCCGAAACGATAAGTTATCATCTCTCATCAAACGAATGCGAATCGGTTTTCTCTTCACTCTTGACAATAATGACCTTAAAAGTGGTAGATAATTTCATCTGTCTATGAACTGGTATTACAACAAAAAAATTTTTACCTTGAAATCTAGTGCAGAATCACTCTTTCCGATAGATTCCAATTTAGATTGAGTAGGCAACTGAAAAATTAGGTTCTCTCTCTACAAACAGGGTTCCAACTTTTCAAATGGCTCAATATCTCCCAAGTGCTATGTGATAAAAAAGATTAATTGATGGCGACGAATAGTTTCTCGCAGTTTAGAGAAAGGTTTGGTCTAAGATTTATAGTCCTTTGTACGCAGAGAATGGCGAATACCGCAATCGGCGATCGATGAGTTGTATGAGGCGAATCAAGAGACAAAGGACGCGCTATATACGTCAGCGAATGGATAAGAATAACTTAGTTTGGTAAGTACGATGCACTAGTTGGTAAAAGCGGAGAGCGGCAGATCTTCACTCTCTCTTAGAAATATGGCGCAGAAAATTCTGACTGTACTTGGCGTTAGGCAGCGAAAAGAAGACACGACTGGCGTTCAAATTTTACTTGGTTTATGATTTTGATAAATTTTTTGGCCCGACGTTGGAACCCTGATAAGAGCTGTCGCCTTCTACACTCACTAATATCATTTTTATATTGTAATAGAACAATTGTTGGGTCGATTAGTATTTACTAATTGCTGTCATCAAGCCCAGTTTTCTTTTGAAAAATTTACATCTGGTAACGTATGAGTCGAAATTTTGGTTGCCAATGCCAAATTCCATTTCATTATTACTTATTTGAGTCGCAGACAAAATTTTTCAGCACGCAAGAAATCCTTTAATTTAAAGAGTTTAGTCAAATGTTTAAAAAAAAACTCTCCAGATACTCTCTTATCAACGCCCTTGCAGCCAATTTTCATTTACCATACTTCCTCAATTGGGTGGCTGTGCGAGCATTAATACACCTAGACCAAATTATACTAAATGTGATGCCAACCCGTTTACTATATCTAACATCCAGTTTTATTTCCAAATAAATTTCAATGGGTAATATGCCTTGACGTCGACCAAAACAAGCTACAGAAAACATAAACTGTCTAGACCTGGTGTATACCATTCTTCCATAGTGAATTTCAGATAAAAGCTGGTGCCACCTGTGTAGAATTTTCCAACCAACACTCTCCATTCTCTCTCCCAAAAGTCCATAAAGGAAAGTGCACCCAGTAGAAATGAAAGAGTTTTGGTCTAAAAACATTCATAGCGACTCGTCACCACTCATCATCAACATATGTATATAGATATGTGCAAGCCATAAACGCTCCCGTTAATAGTCGATGCCATGTCAAGCTGTCATTGTCAACATTGCATGGCAGTTATGAAGTTTTCGGCTTACTTTTC